ACTCTCTCTCTCCCTTCCTCTCTGTAAAAAAATCAATAAAATATATATAAAAAAAAGAAGTCAGCACAAAGATAAATATATATATATATTATGAATAAATATGAGATTTGGAGAATAGACTGAGAGATCCCAACATAAATCTAACAGGACTTCCAGAGAAACAGGACTGAAAAAGTGGCATAGAAACAATATTTAAAGAAAAAAAATGGTTGATTTCCAGAATGAAAGAAAATATGAGCTAATAGGAAATGAATCCTGAGTGCTAAGAAAATAGCTAAATAAATCCACTCCTAGTTATTTAACAGTGAAAATACAGAACGATGAGATGGAACGGGAAGACAGATTACCAACAAGAAAAGAAAAATTAGACTAATAAGAGACTTCTCCTCAGCAATTGTAGTTCCCAAAAGACAATACCTTTGAAACACAAGGAACATATACATATAAATATATATATATACAGTCACGCACTGCTTACCAATGGGGATACATTTTGAGAAATGTGTTGTTAGGAGATTTTGTCATTGTGCGAACATCAGAGTGCACTCACACAAACCTAGATGATATAGCTTACTACACACATAGGCTCCATGGTATAGCCACTGCTCCTGGGCCACAAGCCTGTACAGCATGTTACTCTATATAAAACAACAGTAGATTAAATCAAGCACAAGAGAAAATGATAAGATGAAGAGGCACATTGAACACGAGATGTATGAGGCTACTGCCAGTGTAACACAGCATACTGTAAACTTTTTTTCATAATTAGAAAAACATACTCTAAAATAATGATAAAATGTATGGTACATACATAAACCAATAACATAGTCCTTTATTATCATCATTGAAGATTATGTGCTGTACATAGTTGTATGTGCTATACTTGTACTAGTACACGACTGGCATTGGTTTGTTTACACCAGCATCATTACAAACATGTGAGTTATGTGTTGTGCTATGATGTTACCATGGCTATGACATCACTAGACAATAAGAATATTTCAGCTCCATTAGAATCTTAAGGAACCATTGTCATTATAATCTTAAGGAACCATTGTCATACATGCAGTCCGTGGTTGACCAAAATGTCATTATGCAGTGCATGACTGTAATATATACATGATGTTAGGCCTTAAATGTTCACTACCTTTACTCTTCGGCAGGATTGCAGAAGTGCAGCAGGTTCTAGAAACCACTGGAATCTTCCAGGGATCTTCCAAGCCACCTTGTCCATTCCCCACTCCTTGCTGCCAGGATACAACAGCATGTCCAGCATGTGGGCATTTAGTCTCTGTGTGAACACTTTCAGTAGCAAGACCTCACCACCTCATGAGGTAACTCATCCCTTCTATGAGTGCTGACAACTCTTAGCCCAGCAAGACCCATAGGCCTTATAATAGCTCATTTATCAAACAAATCACTTAGGAAGATGAATTTGTGGCGAAAGGAGTAGGAGGAGAGGAAAACAGTGGCTATGCTTAGTGTGAGATGGACACCCAGATTGAATAATGTTTTTAGGGCATTAGTGTAATAAAAAGTTGTTACATGTTACTATACTAGGACTCATTTAAAACTTGTTGAAGGCTTGGTGTTTACGAGATGAGCTTCATAGAGGATTTTAGAAGAGGAGAAAAAAATCAGTGAAGTTGAAATATGATGGTGGAAAGTCTATAAGGCACCTTGACATTAGAAGATCCCATGAAGATGAATAATGGTGAGTTGGCTCACTGAATCATATCTGGTAACTACTGTGGTTGAAAGGAAACTGTTCCCTGTGCCTTTGAGCTGTGTGATTCTTGGATCATTGAACACACTGCTATACCTTGTGGCTTAGACATCATGAGCCCGAGTTTCTCTATGGCTGAAGCCACAAAACAGTAGGAGGCAGAAACATAAAGGATTCAATTAATCCAACAGAAATGAATTATTACATGAGAAAGAGACTTTCTGTGTGATTTGAATCCCTTGGTTAGAAATAGCAGTAGACTAACAGGAATAGGAAGCCTGTGTGAGGGCTCTGCTTAACACGAAGGTAATGCTGGGCGAGCCACACATCCTGCTTCTGATCGTTGTATTCACTGTTCCCTCTGCCTGGAACATTCTTCCCCAGATACCAGCATGGCTAACTCCTCACTTCCTTCAGGTCTTTGTTCACACGTGACCTTCTCTCTGAGACCTTTCCTGATCAATTTAAAACTTCAATAGACCCTTCACATACACACACTTTCTCCACTTTTTCTCTCGTTTTGTCCCTTTAGCACTTATCACTGCCTAGTAAGTGATAAGTATAGACGTTACTTACTTGTTTTAAATCTTGTCTATCCTCCCCTTCTCTCAATAATGTATAACTCCATAAAGGCAAAGATTGTTGTCTGTTTTGTTTACTGATAGATGCCCCAACTCCTATAGCATGATGGTGGTATCTCCAATAAGAGATGCTATAAAAAATGGTTGAATGTGCAAATGTATCTGTTTAAGCCTCAGGAGTTGGTATTGCAATGTTCATGAAAGCTAAGTTAAAATGTTTATTGCAATAATTCAGATATAACATAAATCTAACTATACCCTATTGCAACTGAGGTTAAGAACTTTCTCTAAGATTCACATAGTTATGCACAGTCCATCCTCTTTTGCAGAAATATGATCAGGCATTCGGGGTAAGATCAGGCAATTTACATTTGACATTCAGATAATGCATTGAACCCTCTGCTGACAATAGGAGTATAAATTGACTGATTACAGGATAACACTTCGGTTTTCAAAAGACAACAGCCCCATGACTTAGAAGAGTTCAAAATTAGAGAAAAAGGATTTGGAAAAGTGTAGTAAAAACTACAAATTTCCACTAGAATGTTGATTTCTTTTTTTCTTTTTAAATGTATTTTTATTGATTTCAGAGATGAAGGGAGAGGAAGAAAGAGATAGAAACATCAAGGATGAAAGAGAATCACTGATCCACTGCCTCCCGCATACCCTCCACTGGGGATCGAGCCTGAAACATGGGCACATGCCCTGACCAGAAATCAAACCATGGCCTCCTGGTTCATAGGTTGATGCTCAACCACTGAGCCACACTAGCTGGGCTAGAATGTTGATTTCTTTATATATTTTCTCTCTGAAAGTGTAACAAAGACACACTTGTAAAATTTCACAATTGAAGTGTTTTCTGACTTCACTTAGGCCCGAATCAAAGAATCTAAATTAAAAATCATAACTATCTCTATGGAATCATGTTTGAAACTATCTTCCCATATGGATTCTTAGAAACCAACTAAGAAGCTTTGAAGATAAGAGGAACTCAGTTGGATATTTTTACAGGTGAAGTTACTGATCTTTCCCTCTTAAGAAAAATCTATAGCTACTTAATTTTATAATTACAGATATTTAATTTAGAAAGTTAAAAGGCTCACTGGCATTAAAGAAAAAATTATGTAAGTGGGTGGATGCAGAAACCAGACAACTTGGGTTTTACTCAGAGCAAAAAATGACTATATTGTAACAATAGCTAAATTTTTATCATCATTTTCACTAAAAACAGCATTCCCTAAACTTGTAACTTAGTCAAGCCTCTTTGTTCCCTGTTTCAAATGAGGCTAGCAACCAACAGATCTTGGAAACAAGATGCAAAGATAATGAAAATCAGACAAAAGTCTGGTTTGTAAAACAAAGCTAAGACATTTGAGCCACATTACTCGTAATCACAAGTAATTAATCACAATATAGTAAATATCTGGGAGAGTAAAAAAGAAACTATTTAAAATATTAAGTGTATTTTCACTTATGTAAATAGATTTAGATTAATTTTCTAAAACCAGAGCCCCATTAGTGAGTGGTAATAAATTGAGCCAAGATAAACCATCAAAAGGCGAGAGATTAATACAGATGGTGATTTTTCCTTTTCACTTCAAACTGAATCTTTTAAAGTGTATCAAAGCCAAGAAAGAAGTGTCTACTGAGACTTCAGCTGTCATTCAGCTCTTGCCTCCTTTCAGAATGATGCTGGATCCCTTTGGTACCTATAGGGAGGTAGCACAGCTACTACTGTCTAGAAGGGAACAGACCATTTTTTTAACAATGTAATAGATAAACTTAGGGCAATGATGCAAATTAGAAGAATTTATACAAAACTTCACTGTTTTTTTGAGAGCAGAGTAATACAGTAGTCCTGATATCTAGAGAAGTACTACTTTTCTACAGAGGTGAAATTGTAATCCCTATACCAAACTAAGATGAGCAAATGCTACTCTCAGGGTATTATGCGATACTGACAACACATGAGTTGCAGAAGATGGGGGTGGCGGGGGCAAGGTTGAGAAATTCTAGTCCCCAGCTGGGAGGGGGTGTCCCTTTAAGCCTTACAGTTGCCCCTGGCTTGCATTTCCCTGGGATGACCTGGCTGAATGGTGCTTTTTTTAGAAAGGCAGCTCCTTGATGTAGGACAGGGGTCTGAAGCACCATGCGGGTAACAAACTATTCTATGCCATTTTATTTCTTTAAGATGTGGCAACTTAAAGAGCCAGCCAAGAGCCCCATGTCTGAAGGAGCTGGGACATCCTCTGGCCCATGGTCCATTTTCTTAGGGTGGGGATGGGCATCCTAGAGCCCCAGGCAGCTGGTTCCTGTGAGTCGGCCATATCAGGCAGCCTGCAGGGCTGCTAGCAGGAGCCAGAGAGACAATAGGAAAGTCAGTCTATTTCAACAAAGACAAGTGACATTTGGAACTGCAATTTGAGTTTTGCTCAAGTTGTGATAGCAGGGGATTTGGAGAGAGGGTCACATAGGTTAATCACTGACATTCCATCCAACTCGAAGACACAAGACTTCTTGACACATTCACTCAATAAACATTTGAGTGTCTGTGTGCAAGCACATGGAGTAACTTTCAACAAATATCCTTTTTTATCCAATAAATGACCTTATCTTGGTGAGGATCCCAACACAGCTGCAACTTTTACTGCAGCACATAGCAGGTAAAAATTAGGGCCAAGTCTGTCACTTACATAATGGAGCTTGAACTTGCACTCATCTTCAATTTCATCTGCACTGTCTTCATCAGAGACATCCCCTTCCTCTGCATCATCTCCAAGGTGATAAGGCAGCTTCTTACCCTGAAATGAAACAAAACACTCAATATAAAAATGAAAATAAATTCACAATAGCCAAAAGATGGAAGCAATTCAAGTGTCCACCAACAGATGAGTCTGTAAACAAAATGTGATAGATGCATACAATGGCATATTATTCAGCCAAAAAAAGGAAGAAAATTAGGACATTTGCTATGGCATGAACAAACCTTGAGGACATTAGGCTAAGTAAAATATCCATGACAAAAAGACAAACTATATGATTCCTCTTATATGAGGCACCCAGAGAAGTCAGATTCATAAAGACAGAAAATAGAATAGTGGTTACCAGGGCTGTGGGGAGTTGTTTAATGGGTGTGGAGTTTCAGTTTTGCAGAAGGAAAAGAGTTCTGGGGATTAGTTACATGGCAGTGTGAATGTACTTAATGCTACTGAAATGTATACCTGAAAAGGTTGAGATGGCAGGTAAATATTAATATTGCATTTCACTACAATTTAAAAAATTTTTAATGTGAAAAATAAAAATGTGTAATCCCTTGGCCAATCATTACTTTAGACTGACTAGTAAGCAGATAGTTTGAGTTAAGGGCAAAACAAGGAAGAAGAGACTTTCAAGAAAAGGTAGATTAATTACTTTCAACTAAATATAAATTAATTACAGATGTTATATTTACAAATAAAAATCAGGCTTATTTTTGAGAATATATGGCTCACTATAACAAGCATAATCCCATTCCACATCCTTAAGAGAAGCATTATATAGATATAGATGATATAGATATATAGATATAGATATAGATATAGATATAGATATAGATAGTTGGAAAGTGTGTATGTGTTTTAGTTATTATAATAATAAATAACTTGCCTATCTCCAAAGTGGTACATAGTCATTCAAATGATACCTTTTGGATCAGAAGTCACTCTGATACTAAAGGAACATAGGAAAATCAGTTTCCTTGTTTTTGCTTTAAACAGGAGCGTGATGGTTTATAGATCTATGTAATCTCCTTAAAGTCTGAAGAATGACCCTATTGCAAATAGACCTTGGCTGCCTTGCAATACTTCACTCACAGTCCACATTGCCCACCACTCCTTCCATTGAGTTCCTCAGCTTCCTGGCTCTGACTCCTCCTGATACCTATCAGCCCTGGGACATCCTGTGTCAAATGACCAAAGTCCAGTTATGGAGAAGGGATTCAGTCCCTATCAATATCTACCTTAAGTTTCGCTGTCTAAAATGGAAAGATTTCAATCAAATGGCCTTATTCCGCATTGAACCTTCTGGCTGCTGGCTACAGGTGATTCAGGAAACATGGAAGCATTTACAAGCTGATAAAGGTAACAGTTAGCTTTCTAACCCAGCCATCAGTATTCATCACAAGACTTTACTTTAGAAAGATTTTATGAAAATTGACAGTGTTATCTCTGGCATTATTTGGAGCTTGTATTCAAAATGCTGCCTTACAACACCTTTTTGATGGAGTCAGTCTATAATTTTCATTTAAGACAGAAAAACAGGTTTGACCAATTACAAAGATGAATTCTTTACCTCTTTCTCACCCGCTGCCCTCCCTTAAAGTCTTGCTATGACATCACAGTTACTTTGACTTTTTTGCACCTCCTATCTGATACCTGACTTTTCTGTACACACCCCTTTTAGGCAACAAATAATCCAGTTTGAATATTCATACCCTACTGCTCTTCCTTAGGTTTTTAGTCTCAAAACAATGCAACTGAGATGGTTTTAATCCAAACACAAAATGAACTGGAATTAAGTCAAATCACAAAGCAATCTGCCATCTCAAGGAACTGTCTTTCTGGCTATCCCTTGCATTAATAATATTCATTGCAGGTATTCAGTTTCCCTTCTCGCAAAAATCTGCTTAGGAAATGTCAGTCTAGTCACCAACTGCTCCTTCGCATACGCGCGAGTCCTGTGGGCGCTGTCAGTGCTGTGCTCCGCTGGGAAGGGAGCTCTTCTCACTTATCCAGGGCCGAGCAACTGTGAAGAACTCCCCCCCACCCCCACCCTCACCAGTTATTGGAGCTTGAAATTGGAGAGAAGAATCTGAAAGAAATGCTTTCAGATATGGACACAGGAACCTTCTCCACCCTGTACCCCACACAGTTCTCCAGTATGAACTAATACAAGACTAAAGTATTCAGCCTTTGGCTTACAGTATTGATGTTCTCACTTCATAAAAATAAATTCCAGAATCTGTGATCACTCGATAGCTAGCTTTTTCTTAAGGTAGGACTATAAATAATCTGGAGCAAGGTGCATACACAAATCAAGACAACCCTTCATGTACAAACTGTACCTATTATTCTCCTGAGAAACCAGTTTGTAGGGTGGGCGGGAGGGCTGAGTTGGTCATTCATGACTTTAAATATGTTCCTTTGGGTAGTTACCTTCACTAGGATTTTGCCTTTCAGACTTTGAGGACTTGGAAGCTGCTTGGTCTCTCCTGGGTCTATGGATGACAGGTCCAGTTTGTCCTGGAATATTCCTTTCAGGTACTGAGCAATCTTCCGTTGCTGCTGGACACTGCAGTGATTTTCGATCGACAGTATGACCGGGAACCTGCGAGAACAGCAACACCTTCTAAAGGCAGAGCACGGCAACTCAGGGAGTTTCAGCAATCATTCCATGTTCATTATGTTCCTGCAATCCTAGTAACTTGTGAGAATGTGACAATTAAAACACTTTAACTGAGGAAAATGAGAGACGCATTAAAAAAAAACACCTCCTCTGAGTAAATATATTTTGCTAGACATAATGGATAAAATACCAATCCATATGGGATTGATTAGTTTGCTATTTTGTATCATGGAAAAAAATAACCATATATCTCTCTCTATCTATAGATATATGTAGGTATATCTATATAGAAATTGATTTAAATGAAGAAAGGAGAAAATTTTAAGAGTGATAAGAAGCCTAAAGAAATAAAACTCATATAATGTAATTCTGTCTTATTTATTCAAAAGTCCAGAAACATCTCAGAGACCCCTGAATATCCTAAAATGCAGACATCTACATTTAATATATCATATATGTTATAAATAAAATACATAATCAGCCCCCAGCTTGAATATTACTCTTGACGATAAAATAATGGCATTTATAGGATCCCCTGCCAGGCATTTCAGTCATTTGTAGATAATCATATACTAGTCTTTACTTTCAGATAAAAAGAAAACGAAAGAAAGCTCAAGCATCCCCTCTCCGCCGGCACTCAGGTTTCTGCGCAGAGAACTTGAGACCAGAAAGACGTGATCAGCACAGGCAGCCTGAGAGGTGGCACCCAGGCCAGCAAGTGGAGCAGAACGGATTGTGTGATATCCTTCCTCTTCTGGCTTTGTTTTCTTCCTCAGAGCGAGAAATTATTTCAAATTCAGACTGATTGATTTTTTTTTCAGTTTTCTATCACTATTTTCCAAAGTAATAGGTAATATATAGGGTGTCACAAAAAATCTATACACACACTTTGATAAACCCTGGTTTAAACATGCAACTAAAATTTAAGAAGGAAAAGTAGAATGAACTTTTGAAGTGTGCTAAATAGGCTTGTGAGTTGTTTTAATTTGAAGTGCTCTTCTCCTTAAGGATTCCAGAACTTGAAGCAAGCACTGTCAGGTCACCAGACATTCCCTTGAGATACACGCAGCCGGTCTTCTCAACAGGCTACTTCACATATTGGGAATGGAGTGGTAAAATCCCTTCTTCAGCTCGGCTAAGACTAGCGTAATGGTACATCAGAAATCAGTACTCGAGGTTCTTCCATGAAAAAACACTGTAAACTAAACCTGCTATGCAGCAAGTGCCTCTTATTAGAACAGCATTTTAACCTCATGGTTAATTAATGACAAGACCAAATATTAAAAATTTTAAAGGCTACTAACTTTCATAAGATTAATTTTATGAAATTTGAATTTGCTTCTTTAAATTGAAAAGTCATTTCTTGAGTGTCTGGTATATTGCAGGTACCTGCTAGGCAATAAAGAATGAATAAGACATAGCTTCATATTTTCAATGAGTTCATGATCTTTAAGACTTAAAAAAGAAAGCAAGTAACCAACAATTATAAGAAAGTGCTATATGACATAATAGGAATATGCTCAGGCGCTAAGAAGAGAAAAAGGGAGCATTTCATTCAGCTGGAGGCATCAGTAAGCAGTAAGTTTGCCAGAGGGACCCTGCTTAAACAGTCTTGTAGGATGAGTAAGAATTAGGCAGGTGGAATAATGGGGAAAGGTATTGCAGACGGAGAGAATAGCTTATGCCAGGGTTGGGGGTTGTGAAAGAACTGGGATCACTGGGAAATCCTAAAGACAGTCAGTGAAGGCAGAATCCTAAGTCTCATGAAAGAAGACACTGGAAGACAAGGAAGGAGCCAGGCTTTGAACGGCATGGAAGACACAGCTGTGTACTAGAGGGAGCTTTTGTGGGACTTTAAGACAAGAAATACAACTTGCTTATATTTTCAGAAAGAGAAATATTGCACCAGTGTGGAGATGAACAAAAGGGGAAGTGAAAATAAAGAGAAGGCAATAGAGTCAAAGGATAATTTAAGAAGTAGAATTGAAAAGAATCGGCTGAATTGAGAAAGACTCCCAGTTTCTGGCTAAAGCCACTGATCGGCAGTGCTACTCCTAACTAAAAAATAATAATAAAATAATAAAAAATACAGAGCCAGAGTAGGTTTGGAAGAATGAGATGTAAGTTCAGTTTAGGGGATAAGCTGCCTGATGTTAGAAGTGTTATCTTTTGTTCAGTGTTGTGGCTTCTTGCACCTACTATAGTGTGCCTTTCTTAGAGTAGGCACCATTAAATATCTAAATAAATACTTGAATAAATAATGGCATTTATTGATTTTGAGGTACCTATAGTATGGATATGCAGATGAATTTTTACTAAGAATTTTTCTATATAGTTCTGAAACTTAAGGGGAAAGTTCTGGATGTATGATTAGACAAATAACCAAAAAAGTAGGCCAAGGGCAACAACTTGGGAAATAATGACTATTAAAGAAATGAGGAAATGAATTAGAAGACCATATAGGCCAAAAAAGGAGAGTGAGAAATAATGACAGCAATGAAGGAGAGAATGTTATAACAGAAACCAAAAAAAACAAGTATTAGGGAGAAAACAGTCAACAGTATCATATACGAAGGAGGGGTCCACTAAAATAAGTAAGCTAGACACAGCAAGTCTGGAACCTAGATATTATTTTACTGAAATTTAGTACAATATCAATAAACTACTGTGTATAGTAACCTGTGTTTCCAGACTTTATAGACACTCTGTACACCCTGGTTTAGAAATCTTGAGATCACTTTTTGCAAGACCACACTTTGAGGCAACGTCTAGAGACATGATGGGGTATGGAATAAATGGAGCATGAGAAAGTATGTACATAGAGTCCATATTATTTGTTTTATGTTTTGTTGGGTCGGAAGGAAAGAACCATGGTAGCAGAAAAGAGATGAATACTCCAAGGATGAGTGTGTGCTTTTGTAGTCACATTACATCAGGAGATGCTCCATGTGCCGCCTTAGCTTAGCTCCCAGGTGTTGCTACACTTACTCATTCTTCACAAAGGCGTGCTTGTTGATGGTCTCCACAACATCTCTGAAGGGGATTTTTGAAGTGAGAGTATAACCGTGGTGAACGACTGGCTCTCCATCTGGGCCATCCCAACAGTCAACTGCCAAAAACAAAGCTTCACATCAACAACCAAACGTTTCTGGCATTTACTAATATTACTGGAAACATCAGACAAATATTATTTTATTTTTTGAGATTATACATATACCATGTTATGATCCTGAGGATGTCAAACAGAGAAATAGGTATTTATTAGAATAAGGAATTAAAGATAATTTGTTTGAGAGTGCTTATAAGTTAACAAAGATGTCATATTCACAATCAGCTTAGCATGTACCATGAACTCTCATTAGAAATTGATCTGAATCACCCTGACCAGTGTGGCTCAGTTGTATGAGCAGTGTCTCATTCTCCAAAAGGTCACTGGTTGATTCCTGGTCAGGTCACATGACAGGGTTGCAGTCTTGATCCCCAGTAGGGGGTATGCAGGAGGCAGCTGATCGATCCTTCTCTCTCACATCAATGTTTTTCTCTCTACCCTCCCTTCCTCTCTTTCTAAAATCAATAAAAACATTTTTAAAAAAGAAAATGAAATTGATCTGAATCCAATCAAGTGTTCCAAGGATAGTGATATTTCTTAACAGGTTGTTTCTTTAATTTCACATCTTCAGTTTACTAAGGTCTTTTAATAAGTCACAGTGACCATCTCAAATCAATAACAAGGTTTTTCATTATTGTTTATTTAAAATCACTATGTTTCCATTAGATTTATTTCTATTTTATTAATTCTACCATAGTTATAAAATAACATCAACTTCTTAAGTTCAAGTCCTCAGGTCCTGCCAAGATTTATGTGAATATGAGCAAATGATTAAATAATTTAAAGTCTTACTTTTCCCATCTATAAAAGGAAAATAGTAATAGCACTTGATCGTAAGTCTCAGTGGTGATTACGTATATATAAAGTCACTTATAATATGGCACGTAGTAACTGATATGGTTATTGATAAATTAATATTGTTATGTGTGTAGACAACCTCACTGGCTCCGAGCTGGAGAGACATTGGCTCCCTCACCATCCTCCCAGGCTTAGAGTTTGCCTTCTCTTGTTTTATCAGACTCATTTCTCAAAACACTGCTCCTTTACTCAAAAGCCTACCAGGTACATAACTCAGCATCCAACACATATTATATACCCAGTAGATATATGCTAAATGTATTAATAAATATCCTACAGCAGCCCCTGCCTGCTTAACCCCAAGGTCCCTAAATCTGGTGCTAGAGACTGACTAGCCATTCACTCAGCCTGCTTTCCCTTTCACCCTGGCACACAGCTGGACTAACTGACCAGCCTTCCCTTGCAGTGGGATGTGGTCATCAAACTGTGGGCAGAAATGGTGTGTACCACATCTAGGTCTGGTCTACAAAACCTTGCCCTACACCAAGCATGTCAAACTTGTGGCCCACGGGCCGCATGCAGCCCACAACAAATATTTTTGTGGCCAATATAACGGTATGTAAGAAACGTTTTAATAAAAATTTCGGAACTTAAATTTACAATATCCTGTTATACATAATTATTAATAACAAACTACAATGTTTGCTAATGACTGATTACTGTAATCGTGTTGCATTCATTTCCCTTATGCGCCTTATGAGCAGGCACACCATTTCTCTCCACTAGTACTAGCAGCGAATATTTTAGCAGTCAATTGCCACATCATTAGTCTTGGACTGATTTGTTTGGTGCGCGCAACAAGAAATATTTCGCTTTCAGAGAATAAGAAAAATGGCTTTATTTGTGTTACACTTATTAATTTGTGCAGTTACTCAGTGTCTGGCAAGTTAATGTTCAAGAAAAAATATTAATTTTTATTAAAATGTTCTATTACTTTATGTTAACGATTACTCATTTCAGCCCTTTGTAGTCAGCATGTCTCTTATCGAAATAAACCTAGGTTTCTATGAAAATTCAAGCTTTTATTTTTTTTGTGGCCCACATAAACTTAAACATTGTTTATTTGGCCTGTGTTAGCCTTTGAGTTTGACATGCTTGCCCTACACAGCCATCCCTGCTCTCTCTTCTCCTGTGACTTAGAAGCCATTGTTGAAGGTGGCACAGCCACAGGATAGAAAGATCCTGGCCCCTAAGATTCACCCATTAGGAGCAACTGTTTTGAAGTTCATATAAGCAAGAAATGAACTTCAGTTGTTTTAAGAAAACAGATTTTAGGTTTGATAGTTAAAGAAACTAGTATTGTCTTAGTTAATATCCTAGCTCCTGTCTGACAAGTCAACCTTATTTCTCCTACACCCAAACTCACAGACTTGTTCTTCCAGTTAGGCAAGTTTCCTCATATACAATCCTGCCTCAAAACTTCCCTTCTTTCACTGAAGGTCACTGAATTGCCTCCTTTCACTTTCACTCTTCTTCTCTAAATCCCAATCCAGGCTAAGCAGGATCCTCTGTAGAACCTTGACAGTTCTCATGACGTTGGCCTAGTACAGTGGTCGGCAAACTCATTAGTCAACAGAGCCAAATATCAACAGTACAACGATTGAAATTTCTTTTGAGAGCCAAATTTTTTAAACTTAAACTATATAAGTAGGTACATTGTTATTAACCTACCTATACAGTTTAAGTACTGTTGATATTTGGCGCCACCCCCCGCGCTGCGTATCCTGCGGCCCGCCTGCAGCACGTCTCCGGACGCCCAACCGACCGACCGACATCCCCCACTTCTTCTAAGGCCACTTCTTCAAGATAGACTCGCCCAGGCCGAAAACCGACTTCTGCGCATGGGCCACGAAGTTTCAATCGCACCGTATGTGTGCACCCGCACGTGGTATTTTGTGGAAGAGCCACACTCAAGGGGCCAAAGAGCCGCATGTGGCTCGCGAGCCGCGGTTTGCCGACCACTGGCCTCAGAGGTCACAAGCTCAGACACCAACAAGAGCCTAGCAGGCAACACAAATGAGAGCAGTAGGCCAACAGCAACTGTATGTCTAATGAGACAATTACTTGTCACTCTGGTTACCAGATCTGAGAAAAATCCAAAACCTAGGTGCTATTGCTGTGAAATTTTCCATTTTATAGCTATTGACAATTAATCTATTTTTAAAATTACAGTGTGGACCAAACATAATTCTGCAGGCTGGATTTGGCTAATGGCATGCCAACTGAAACTGCCTTGTAATTAAGGCCACACAGTTCAGGACCATAGCTATTCTCTATTTTAGTAACACATTTCCTATATGTGTTTTGTATATTACCTCAAAATAATATCTCCATCTCCTTCTAAAACATGTTCACCATAACCATAATGTGATTTGATGGTTAATGTTATATGTCAGCTTGTCTGGGCTATGATGTCCAGTTTTGGTCAAACACCAGTCTAGATGTTGCTATAAAGATATTTTTAGATGTAATTAACGTTTACATCAATAAGTTTTGGGTAAAGCAGATTATTCTCCATAATGTGAGAGGTGGGTCTCACCCAATCAGTTGGAGACCTTAAAAGCAAATACTGATGTTTCCTAAAGAAACGATACAGAGAGAGAGAGAGAGAGAGAGAGAGAGAGATATCTCCTATTGGTTCTAAAACAGTTACCTATATTAATCAATTAAGCATTAATTGTTAAAATATTCTTAGGAGGAAACATTTAGAGAAAATAAAAGAAAAAAAGAACATTCAAAGTTAATAGCATAGGAATAATGGAAACAACGTTTAAGAATAAATATGCTATTGAGAAGACCAAAAGTTTTAAGACATTACTATGCAGGTTATATTTGGGCCTGCAACTGAGATCAAATGTATCAAAAGCATCTTCTCAGAAGAGAAGCTCCATCCATCCTTTGACATACACTTGGCATTCTTTCATTGGTCTTTGGATATAGGTGTTGAAAGAATAAACAGGTGTTTCAAAAATACAGAATTTTAACAATTTGTACCCTGATTTATAGTCCCATCTTGGATGAGAAAGAGCATAACAGGGTTCCTCACAAATGAACTAACCTTTTCCCCCCAAAATGCAACATAGACAAGGCAATGCCACCCCTGACCTCATTGTCATGGACACATACAAATAGCTCTTAAAACTACATTGATCATAAACTATTTGCTGATAGTTTCACACAGGCAGAATATCCATTGCCGATGATGCTTCTCCTAATGTTCAGATTTTAGGTCTGATTTCTTGACTGTCTGTTATCTATAATAATAAAAGCATAATATGCTAATTAGACCAGACATCCTTCCGGATGAAGCTGGGCTGAGAGGGAAGCCTGGGTCCCGGGTGCCTGCCAGTGGCCAGAAGGAAGCCCAGGTCCTGGGTGCCAGAGGGAAGCTGGTGCTGGCAGCCAGGGGAAGGAAGGCCTACTCTTGCACAAATTTCATGCATCAGGTCTCTAGTATGAAGATAACAACACTCCAAATGGTGCTGGCATCCTAACAGGTGGTATCAGTAACCATTCTTAAATGGCAGCGACATTTCCTGTAAAAGCTCATGCTGTCATGAGAATGCTGGCAAGGTCAAAATCTTCTAACCAATCCCCATAGCCACAAAACAGTCAGGGCCCATTTTTCAACCAGACCATAGAGTAGAGGCCCCCAAAAGCACTCTGACAGGGTTGGTCAGTTGTAAAGGCCGAGCAGCTAACACGACATCTCTTCATAATGTCATTTAAAAACGTTCCACCTGATAGAGCTCCCAGTGATAACAGGAAAGGTTATAAACCGATTATACCAGCGATGCAACATCACTTCCATAATGAGAGTGAAAATCTCCTGGACAGAACATCCATATTTATTAAGCAATTTGGGCTGAAAATCAGGGGAATAAAAGGCCATGTAAAAAATGTTATCAATTTGATTTTCTGACAAGCCCACTTTACCAAGAAAGACTGACTGATTACTCTTCCCTAAGGCGCCATTTATTTCCTGACCAAGGACATTACTGCAGCTGAACACTATGACGGTGTGTGCCATCCCCACCCCCAACTCGGGCCCCCGCCCCATATCTCTATGATGTCAGACATGTATAACTTGTTGAGCACTGAGGGAACAAAGGGTAGAGTAATGGCTAAGAGCAGAATGGCACCTCAAGACCTTTTGCTGCTCAAAAGCTTTTTCTTTATGTTAATATTTTATGATCATCTTCATTATTTACCAGTAGTTGCTTAAGTTACTCACTTGTCAATCACTATTGTCTGGAGGTGTTCTCTATATCCACAGCAAAAATGCCATGACTTAAAGCGTTATTTCCAGAGTGCTAAATTTGTAGTGAGCTTAATGGTTCTGTATGCAGATGGTTATAATGACTATCCACTTTTAAAATATGTTAATTTACTTTTGTAACTTTACTACTATTTTATATATAACTAGAGTCCCAGTGCACTATTGTCCAAGCAATCTTTCTAAACTTCAAACCTGATCATATCACTATAAGTATTAAGACTTTTTATTGGACCCTAGACACCAAAGCTGAAGTTGAAATGCCTCACTACAGCACTCAAAACCCTTTATGATTGACCCAAGTCTACTCAGCCTACCTGATTTGTCATACTTCTCTACCACGTATATGGTATATGATTCAACTGCTGGAATTCTCACACTGTACTATTGCTTTAACTTCCATCCTTCCACTAGACTGCGCTCCTTGGAGATAGAAACATGTCTTACATCTGTGTACTCACCCCCAGGAACCCACTATAAATCGAAAAAGTGTTGATAGACCATGAAGTATCCTGAAAACAAATAGTAATCTTGAACTATTTTCCCCACTATTGAATCAAAAATACCTTTCTAGAAAAATTTTCATTGTTAGTACAATTTTTCAGCAACCAAAGGTGTTATGTCCCAACTGCAAGTACTGATCTCTCTCTCTCCTGACTGATAGTAGGGAGAAGCCAGAGAAGATTATGAGTTAAGGAAGACTTTACAATAGCAGGAAAGTGATTCTCATTAGTGTGAGTGCATTTTTTAGGTCTCCATTATTTATGGAAGACCTGATGGACCAACTAAAGGACATGTTCACCGACACAAACCGGAGCTCAGACAAAGGACGTACCTTCCACACAGCGACAGCCCTCTTGTAGCACCCGAGCGTACATGTCCACCTTGGACTGAGAGAGCAGCTGGTCCCCAGTCAGGTACGTGTTGTGAGAGGATGCGATGTAGTAGTTGCACAGGGGCTGATCCATGTCCTGGTACACTTCATGGTGCAGTGGGTTAAATATATCACAAGCAGGACTTCGCATGAAGCTGGTGAAGCCTTTGGAAGAGAGAGTGGAGTACTATAGCTTTAAGGCATATGTACTTGATTGACTGGAACAGGAACAAGAGAGATCAAATATGTTCATAGTGATTATCTTTGTGATTACCCCAGGACAGCCTTGGCAGGGAACACTGGAGCAATGAGATTTGTTGAGTCAAGTAATGACAAAAGCTTAAATATGACTTTTGGGAGTAGCAGTTTAAATATAACCTACAGAAAAACAGACTTTTTAAAAATTTTGATTGAGTGGGTTTCCTACAAAGCCATTCAGTAACTACTGAGCTCAAGCTAGGATTATGCTGTGTGACCTAATTGGTGACTGACACAATGTTAAAGCGTTATTTATACTAAGCAGTAGAATGCTGTACCAATAATTTGATAGGTTATTAAGTAAATATGAAAAATAGGCACGGCCAAATTTAGGGTGTGATTATTTGACTATGAAATTGGCTTACAAAGATGCTGCTAATTGCCAGCACATTTAATAACTCTGAAATAATGCTTAAAGGTTAAGTAGAAAACCCTCAGTTTTTCTACAGTTTTCAAAATGTAATGTCTAAGTAGAAGAGGCATTCATTAGTATATGAATAAATACATGAATGACTCACAAGTACTTAAGTGGAATGGTTATTAGGGTAAATTGTTTCAAGGCTTCAAGAACCATATGGTAAAACTCTATCTGTAAATATCCTCTGAGACTCTGGAGAATTTCTTCATGCCTTTCTTTATGGCCAAAACTTAGAAGTCATGTTTAATCCATCTTAGGGCCACACCAAGGAAAAGATTCACTTCTTAGCAAATGTCCAAATTAGTTTATTTTTTCTGGCTGTCTTTAAATGGTTTTTGATCATGTAACTTTTAAATTATTCCTCTTCTTTTTAATTACCCTCAACCTCAGGAAGTAAGCACATGTCACCAAAACTCCCTTGTCCACACAGCCTGAGAGCAAGGGGACTAGGCCAACAATAAAAAATGGTGAGATGAATCCTGGCTTTGCATGCTCTTCAGGGCAGCAAATGGCCCAGTGGTCTTTCTGTTCAGCCTGCAATTGATTTCCTTACATACTTTACATACACACAATTTAGACACGCATGTAGCTAGTAGCTACATTCATGTCATACTATTTATATATAAGATCCTTGGATGTAGATTCTGAGTATCTATCTGTTGGCAAATTACTTAACTTCTTTGAGCTTCACTTTTCTCGATGGTAAAATGAGATGGTTGTATTAAAGAGATTTATGGTTCCAACAAACCTCTCCACTGCTACCAACTGGGTAAAACTGGCTCATTGTCAACATTTTTTAAGAAACAGGTTCACTTTCAAGTCCCTAGTTTCCTAGATTACTTATTTTAGGGCCTAATTTCCCTTCATAAATTATCAGGTTGAGGCTATTCCCCAAAATTAGCTATTTGAAAAAAGTCCAAATATTTCTTAGTATCTTCATACATAGTGGCTTCAAATTGACTTGCCAGGAATAAAAAAATGTAAATTGTCATTGCAAAAGTAAGAGAAGTGGCAATATTATGGCATCTGCTTTGTAGGAAAATAGGTATTGGAATCATCAGTAATTCCAGAGATATTTCTGATTTCTCTTTCTAAAATTTTTGCAAGAATTTAACTTAGTGAACTAAATTGAAAAATGAGAAATTAAGAATTTTTGTTATTTTACCTTCTATGCCAAGAACGTTTTTCGCCTTATTTTCTTCTGAAACTTCAAATTTCCTTATGATGTCAAGGCAATAGTCTGTTGTCACATTATTCATCTAAACAAAACAGAACATTAGTCGAGTACCTGAAATATCATGATATGTGTTTCTCTACACTAAAAAAAAGCTTAGTGCAAAGTGGGTTAATGAACAGTGTTTGTAGTTACTAATGTATAGCCACTTTATCTTTGCAAAAGATCATGATCTCAATCTTCCTTGCATCTTTCACATTTAATCAGTGAAAACAACCCTTCCACTACTAGAAAAATGTGCTCTATGAAGCAATAAAATTAATTAGAATTAATAATCAATGCAAATCCATTGCCAAAAATCCACTCACTGTAAGCTAGTAGCTAACTGCAAAAGCAGACACTGAAGTTTGCTAATCATAAATTTATGTTGAAAGAAAATGGTTCTTTACCAAAACAGAGTGTTGTAGGTAAATCTACCTGTGCATTATCTGTATATATCCTTCCATTGAATCATGAGAGCAGCCTGTCATGTTGATTCAAGGACATAAAGGTTAGCAAGAAAAAGTAAAAAGCTAGGCGAGACGGCTAGTGTACAGAAAGCTCTGGAGCTGGACTGCTTGTGTTCCAGTCAGCTAGCTGATATCATCGACAGTGTGATCTTGAATGAGTCACTTACTTTCTCTGTGGCTTCCTTATAAGGCAGCTGTGAGGATTAAATGAATTAATATTTATAAGAATATCAATGGGAGGCACCAAAAGGCAGGACATGATATATTACTGAGTCGGCCTCAAGGTTGCTGCATGAACATTACATATTTAGTGTCACTGGGAAAAGTAAACTCTTCAGAAATAATTTCTTTAATTAAGTAGCAATACAAAGGATGTGATATTTGATCATAAATCCATTGAGCCCCATAGTTTAACAGTGATATTTAAAATACTAATGAATAGTGATAGAGGAAGCTAATCTTGTGAGCCAGTATTTCATATTTCAGTGATACTTCTCAGAAATTGTATTATCTCTTAGGTTCAATGCTTATGATTTAGCAAAATCTAATTTTTCTAAACAGTCTATTTAATAGCATTAAAATTTGCTAAGAGAGCTGATCTTAAATATTCTTGCCACACACAAAAAAAATCATAGCTATATGAGGTGTTGAATATGTTAATTAGCATTGTCGTCATTATTTCACAATGTATACATATATCAAATCCTCATATATGGTACACCTTTAATATTTTTATTCATCAAGTAAACCTCAATAAAGCTGGGAAAAACAAAAATATTATTTTTCTACTTTAGTGAGAAACAGAGTTTAAGGTAATATATATTTTTTAAAAAAAAGGCACTAGAACAAGACTTGGCCACAATTCAGCTGACACAATATTAAAAGATCTAATTTAAATATATTTAGGAATTCCCTTTGCTAATCAGGACTTAATTTACTTAGCCTTCTCATATGGTCAAATGCCAATTTCCCATCAGAATTATCAATGAATTATTATATTGCTAGTTAGGAATTATGTCATAGTAAATAAATACTTAGCTATATTGTTATTATAAAGGAAATTACTGTTGTATCTAAAATGAAATATATAAGTTACCATTGGTTACTTTGTGTAAAAATATACATATCTATGCTCAACATCTTTAAGGTAAAAAATTATATGTGTTCAATTTATCACCCCCTCTTTAAAAAGCTGCTGAAACACGTTTTAAATAACTCATAGTAAGATTTTTTGGAATTTTGATGTTTCTACTTCTACCCTAAATTTAAACTATATCTACATCCAACCCCAAGAAAAAACCCATGTATCTTTCACAAATATTTTTAAGTAAACATTCAACTCAGTAGTCTAATAATACCTTTTGCTCCACCTTCAAAAATTGGGCCAATTCTTCCACAGTTAGGTGATCTTTCTTGTCACTGTAGCTCAAGAGCAACAAATAAAGGTCCCGTCTCAATGACATCATTTTGTAAAAAACACAGAACTCTTCAAATGTCAAAGTTCCCTGATTCTCATCTGTGTCAGCTTCCTGAAAGAGGCACATTAAAATCGTGTCAGGGTCAGAGTTTGAAACAAGAAATTCAGTGCTGGTAAATATTTACTATAAAAGAGAGAGTGCACATTTTACAAATGGTAAATATTCTTTTCTAGCATACATGGATCAGTTTTAAAATTGGCTATATATTAGGCCACGAGCAATGTCACAAATTATAAAGAATTAAGCTTATTTTAAAAACTAATTTCTCTCAGAACCATAAATTTATAAATCAACAAAGAAAACTGTGGGAACAACATAATACCCTTCTAAGTAGGAACTAAAACATATAGAAGTGAACCACATATTAAAATATGCACCACATATTAAAAGTTGTGTGATGAAGTTAAAGCAGTAGAGGAAACTTGAAGTTTTCAATTTATTCAAAAGCAAAGTAAATCAAAAATAGAGAAGTTAATAATTCAACTTAAAAATCTAGAAAAAAATTTAAGCTAAAGAAAATAGAAATAAATTATAAGCAAAAGCAGAAAGCAATGACATAGAAAACAAATGGATAGAACATATCAAAGGTGAACAATTAAACCAAAAACTGATCTTTTGAAGAAACTAATGAAAAAGAGAAATCTTAGACAAGATAACATAAACAAAAGAGAGAAGACACACTTAACACATAACAAAAATGCCAGTCTCTCATCACTTTCGGAGCTGCTTTTCAATCACGTATAAATGTTCCTATAACAAAAGCTCTGTTAATTCTGCATAGGTAGCTTAGTGCTCTTACAGCCATCAGCATCATTGGTACCTCCCTGCTTTTCTTCCACAGAAATCTGAAAAATCCATCTGCACAGATTTGTAGTTCAAATTATTTGTTTCTAGCAATTATTAAGCAAGAATCTTTCACCAGGTATCTTCCTTCTGATTGAATGAATGTCATAAAACTGTTGGGAATATATAATGGAAAACCAATCCATTTACATGCTCTTCTTCATTCTACGTGTACACAGTTGTAACTGAATAAAAACCGACAAGGAATCAATGGCATTTTGAAGTACTAGATTTTGTGAAGTACAGGCAGGTGTAATATGATTTTAAACATAGATTTGATCAATATTTAATCAGACACAGTTTCTTTGTAAGGCTGATTGCCATTGCCTTCTGTAATTTTAAAGGTAGAGATAGATTGGTCCATGGAATATCAATATTTGGGTGTTTGAGGCTCCTGGTTGTAGAGTTTTTGGACCCTAAGAAATTAGGTCTAATGGTCATGTTTCTTCCATAACTTTGTTTCAAAATATCTAACCCTGGATACAGAGATAAAACATTTTTCAAGACTTCCTTATATATGCCTAAAAAATTAAGAGTAGTAAAACTCTGAGGTTTAAACCATAGCATCAAAGACTTCAAAAGAAGCTATCCATACATTAAATGATTTTTTTAAGTCAGTTGAGCCCTAGCTGGTTTGGCTCAGTGGATAGAGCATTGGTCTGTGGATTGAAGGGTCCTGGGTTCGATTCTGGTCAAGAGCACATGCCCAGGTTGCAGGCCCAATCCCCAGTAGGGGACATGCAGGAGGCAGCCAATCAATGATTCTCTCACATCATTGATGTTTCTATCTCTCTCTCCTTCTCCCTTCCTCTTTGAAATCAATAAGAATATATTTTAAAAATAAATAAAAATTAAAAATCAGTTGAATCTTGCATTGGAATAAATAGTCAAAGAAAATGCTAGGGAGTCTTTAATGTCTTTATTAACAATTCAGTAAAAAAATAAGAGAGAGAGAGAGAGAGAGAGAGAGAGAGAGAGAGAGAGAGAGATTGTTCCTGAAATAATACTAAGATCCTTGGTTCTCCCACCATGAGTATTTACAGAACCCCGCAAGAAGCAAGGCCCAGTAGCAATGTTATACGTACAGCAGGCCCAACAGCTTCTCCACTCACTTCTGGCTTGATAAGTTCTTTAAATCAAATGTCATAAAAAGAGACCTTTAATGTTTTCTTAAAACTTCTCTAAAGGATTTACTGTGAGCCCAGAAACATTTGACATACACATTTCCTGATTCACCCTCTAAACTGCTTGATGCATTAAACATAAAAGGTGTTTGAAGTGGAAAAATACAGAATTAAAAATAGATCAATATCTTATGTTTCTTCCTTATCTTCCAAAAAGTACCCAGAAAATCATTATTTTTGTAGACGTAAACTTTACCCTCCTCTGTAAGCTTGGCCTGTCTGATTCAATCAGCAGCTACCTCTTCAGTACTATAAACACCACCTACAGAAAGGATCAGATGGGTATGTGGAGTTCACAACAGGACAAAAGCGAGATGTCACAGAGAGAGCCAGGAACATGGCAAATCTTTTTATATAGTTTAAAGAGAATTCACAAAATACATGACAACCTATTTCTCCTCCTATGTCCCTCACTCCATCTCTGGGATTCCTTCTACAGCATATCTCATTCCTTCCTCTCAGGCTATCCTCCGGTATAATGGGACCAAGTTCTCCACAATGCAGACCATATCCAGCCTAGAGTTTCGAATGGCAGGACCACTGTAAGAGGTCACAGATGGAAGCCAGCCTCCACCTTCCACTAATTGTTGCATCTCACCCCTCATGTTGTTTCTGCCCTTATCCCCTCTAAGAGCAAGTGATTAGAAAACAAAGCACAAAACATTGTAACATATCAAGCCCTATACTTCTTTTTAGAGGTACAAAACACCATCTATGTAGTCAATGAGAAAATCATTGCAAATCATGGATTATGCATGTGACTTGCCTCCAAAGAAGAGCCTTTCCTAAATTCATATCGCAGTAATTACTAATAATCTAACATTGTCTTCACACCAACTCAAACTTAGCAGAGCTGACTTCTACACCTATGGAGGACTAAGTTTGGGCCCAAGGATTTTTTTCTCACGGAATTGCCAACAGGGGAAGAGCATCTCATCTAATACCAACAGGCAGTTGAATGAACTTTGGGAGAGCTCCTTAAACACATTTGCTGATACACCCTCTAACCTGCTTGATGCATTAAACATAAAAGTGATACAGCACTTCTGAGTCCCATGGATTCTGAATTTTAAACTCATCTGAAACAAAATAGAGGACCCTTGGGGATTTCAAGTGCAATTTTTTTTTCATGTCTTTATTCTGATCCTCACAACAGTCTGTGAGGTGGACAGTTAGATATTGCCATCCTATCTAGGAGACTTGATCACATTTACTCCATTATTTGTCAGGTAAGATGCTTATGATGACTCTCTGAAAACAGCAACAAGGCATTTTAGGAAGTGAAATTATGAATGAAAGTGTGTTTTTTTCCTTGATGTAACAAAATGTCTCTCTTTGTCAAAGAAAAACAAAGCAAAACACAGCAGGTAATATTAGCTTCCCAAAAATTAGCCTTTTAAAATATCTGAATATACCAATAACCACTCATGTGGATTTTACCTAAGGCCAACTGGATTGTAAAAAACGTACCTGAAACATTTGTCTGACTTTTCTTCGGGGTAGGTTGACATTTAGTTTATGCATCAATTGGTGTATCTCTTCAATATTCAATAAGCCGTCACCATTCTTATCAGCTTCCTCAAAGGTCTGCTTCACCCACATGCAGAAACGTCAAGAAAAACACTTGTGTTTTCACAAAATAAAAGCTGATTTCTAACAGAACACTCAGAAGAAATTCTTTTAAGGAGGCTCTTAGTGAGCTACTAATAGTGACAACAGAAGAAACGGGGGAAGGAGAACACAAACAGGCAATTCCCTTCTCTGAGATGAGTCAAGCCACGCTGTTGTGAGAGGTTCAACTCCAACATTGTTATCCAATCGGTTAAGTATCTCTATGATGTGATGAAACCCCAACTATTCCAAGCTTAGGCCTTCTCCGTCTATGACCTTTCATTTAGTATCTTTTTTACCTTCACAATACTCCATGGTACACAATCTTTTCAATTCCCTTTTCTGAGTTCCACTCCTACATTTAGAAATTTAGACCATCTAGTTCAATCTCCTTATTCACATGAGGATATAAACTAAAGGAGAGGGAGAAATTTAGAAAGGATTAGCAAGGGAACCAGGTACATAGGGTAGGCACTATCATGAACATCATCGCCATTTACAGATAACAACTCTGAGGCAAAAAAGTAACTCACCCATGTGGATTTGGGGCTGGAACCCAGCACCAGTCTGAGTCTTCAACCACACCACCACATTGCTTCTAATAGATATGAATACTGCATCTGCCTCCAATTCAACATGTTCATACTGCAGAAATAGCTTGAATTACACTTTACACGGGATGAATTTTTTTTTCCTACAGCCAATTAAGATTCATTATTCTCATTATTCATTCACAGTTGAAGTTTTCAGGCCTAATTGAAATGTAATAATCATGAACATTCCAAATCTGTTCCCTCGATTAATGTAATTAAATGTGAGTCCAATTAAGGATGTCATACTATTATTAAGACATTATCTAAAACCCTATCAAATTATGACAAAACCATATGAGAATGGTTCCCAAACTGAAATAATGTTCCCTATTTTTGACATCAGCTTCCTTTTTATCATTCATTAATTTCCTCTTTCCTTTTCTCTCCTCATTTAAACAAATATCAACTGCTTCTGAATTTTTTAACTGTACAGTTCTTGGGTACATGTGCTTTCCAGGTAGCATATTTTCAGAATATGAAATCACTCAGTTATCAACTGGTTAATTCAAATATGGAAACTTTCTACTGCTAGTAAACATGGACAAACAAGTCAGGTTGAAGAACTATTGCCTAAGCTGGTATAAATTCTATTTAGAGTATTGTAACTTTAAAATGTTAAAATTAATCCCCATGGTAATCACACAAAAAAATAGCCAAAGAATATATGCAAAAGAAAATGAGAAATGACTTATATATTACACTGAAAAAAAGTCAACTAAACACAAAAGAAGACAGGAATGCAGAAAATGAGGGACAAAAAAAGTCATAAGGCATACAGATAAGAAATAGCACAATTACAGAACTCCCTTCTTATCAGTAATTACTTCAAATATAAATGGACTAAACTTTTTGGTCAAAAGTCAGAGATTGGCATTGGTAAAAACACATAACCCAACTATATGTTGTCTTAAGAGATGCTCTTGAGATCCAGAGACACAAACAGGTTGAAAATAAAAAGATAGGGGAAAAAAGACTTTCTATGTAAATTAGGGGTGACTATACTAATAAAAAAAGGTTACAAGAGACAAAGAATGACATTACATATTTATAAAAGGTTTGGTACAGCAAGAAGATGCCAATATTATAAGCATTTATGCATCTAATGACAATCAAAATATATAAAGCAATAACTGAAAAAGGGAATCATTCTATAATAATAGTTGGAGGCCTCAATACCCTACTCATAAGAATGGAACAACCAGATAGAAGACAAGTAAAGAAATAGAGGATTCAGCACAATAAACCTAGATCTCACGGACATACACACAACAATCTATACAATAATAACAATGTGCAAATTCTACTCAAGTGCACATAAGACACTTTTTAGAATAGACCATATTTTAGGCCACAAATTAAGTCTTTATATTTAAAAAGATAGATATACAAAGTGACTTTTCTGATCACAATGGGATAAAGTTAGAAGTCAAAAAAAATCTGGAAAATTCACAAAACTGTGGAATTTAAACAATATATTCTTAAACAAACAATAGATTGAAGAATAAATCACAAAATAAATTAGGAAAGACTTTCAAATGAATGAAAATGAAAGCACAACATATAAAACCTTATGGGATGCAGTGAAAGCATTGTTAAGGGGGAGATATAAAGCTATAAATTTTTACATTAAAAAACAAAAAAAGAACTCAAATCAACAACCTAACTTTACAACCTAAGAAACTGGGGGAGAAAAAAATTTAACCCAAACCTAGCAAAAGGAAGGAATAAGAAAAGTCAGTACAAAGATAAGTGAAATACAATAGGAAAAAAAATGAAACCAAAAGTTAGTTATTCAAAAAGATCAACAAAATTGATGAACCTTAAGCTGGATGGACTAAGAAAAAAAGAGAAGACTCAAATTACAAATATCAGAAGTGAAAATGAAAACATTACTACTGACTCTACAGAAATAAAAAAGATAACTAGAGTACTATGTACAACCACACACCAACAAATTGGATAACAGATGAAATGGAAAAATTTCTAAAAACACAAAACCTACCAAATCTAATCACAAAGGAATAAAAAATCTGAATATATCTATAACTAATATAGAGACTGAATCAGTAATAAAAAATCTCTCAACAAAGTAAAGCCCTGGTCTTGATGGCTTCACTAGTGGATTCTACCAAACATCTAAAAAACGAATACCAACCCTTCTTAAATTTTTCCAAAAAACTAAAGAAGAGGGAACACTTCCTCACTCATTCTGTGAGGCCAGTATTACTCTGATATCAAAGCCAGACAAAGACACAAGAAAACTACAGACCAATTTCTCTTATGATCATTGATTTTTAAAAAACACTCAGCAGCCCTAGCTGATTTGGCTCATTGGATAGTGTCAGCCCGTGGACTAAAGGATCCCCGGTTCGATTCCTGTCAAGGGTACATACCTCAGTTGCAGGCTCAATCCCTGGCCCCAGTCAGGGTGTGTGCGGGAGGCAATCAATCGATGTGTCTTTCTCACATCAATATTTCTCTCTCTCTGACTCTTCTATTCTCTTTCTTAAAAAATTATTTTAAAAAAATTTAAAAAGAAGAATAGAACTGGAGAACTAAAAGTTCCTGATTACAAAACTTACTACAAAGCTACAGAAATCAAAATAGTGTGATATTGGCTTAAAGACAAATATATAGACTATTGGAATAAAATACACAGCCCAAAAAGAAACTCTCACATATATGATTGAATGATTATTGACAAGGGTGGCAAGACAATTTGATTACAAAAATAACAGTCTTTTCAACAAATGGTGCCCAAAAGAAATTGGATATCAATATTCAAAAGAATGAAGCTGGACCCTTTACCTAACACCATTTACAAAAATTAACTCAAAATGAATTAAGGACCTAAATGTAAGACCTGAAACAATAAAACTCTTGGAAGAAAACAGAACAAAAGCTTCATAACAATGGATTTGATGATGATTTCTTATATAGGATACCAAAGGTACAGGTAACAAATGGAACTTCATGAAAATTTAAAAATTGTATGCATCAAATGACACTGTCAACAGAGTAAAGGCAACTCGCAGAATGAAAGCAAATATTTTAAAATTATGTATCTGATAAGGGATTCATATCCAAACAATGTAGAGAACTCCTAAAACTTAATGACCAAACAAAAAAATGCCAACCTGCTTCAAAACTGGGCACAGGACTTGAGTAGCCATTTCTCCAAAGAAGTTATATGAATAGCCAACAAGTGCATGAAAAGATGCTCAACATCACCAACATTAGGAAAATGCAATTAAAAGCCCTGGCTGGTTTGGCTCGGTGACTAAAGCGCCAGCCTGCGGACTAAAGGATCCCGGGTTCGATTCGGGTCAAGGGCATATGCCTGGTTGCGGGGCTCGATCCCCAGAGGGGGGCGTGCAGGAGGCAGCCAATCAATGATTCTCATCATTGATGTTCTATCTCTCCCTCTCCCTTCCTCTCTGAAATCAATAAAAATATATATTTTTTAAAAACTACCACCTCACATTCATTAGAATGACTACTATCAAAAGAACAGAAAACAAGTGTGGTGCAGATGTGGAGAAATTGGAACCCTTGTGCACTGTTGGTGGGAATGTAAAATGATACAGCTGCTGTGGAAACCAGTATGGCAGGTCCTCAAAAAATTAAAAATATAATTAACAAAAGGAGTCAACACACTGAAGATGGCAGAACCTAGGTCTCTGTGACATCTCTGGGCCACTGATTAACCAACCCTGGAACTGCCCCATTTCAGATCTCTTGTTCATGAAAAATAAATACTCCTTATTGTTTAATAAATATTGCCTTAAACAATATTAGTATGGTTGCGTGGCTTGCACCAAAAAGCATTCTTACTGGTTCAGTATTTTTGTTTGTTTTTCCCAAAGGTTAGGAAGTTAAGAAGGAAACTAACAGAATAAAGCAGCAAAAAGTTGTTCCTATGTTTGTATTTTGTTCCTATGTTTGTTCTCTTATGAATCCCAGTTGCATTTATCTTCATGCTGAGAATACTGATGAAAGCTCATCAGCTAAGGAGTTCACACTGTCAAAACCCTTTTCTGGGCTGAGTATTTCCCCTCTCCTACAACAATACCCCAGGGGAGGGATTACAGCCAGAGTAATATAAATTTATCACCACTCTTGGCAAAAAATTAAGGCGCACATTCCAATGACAGCAAGGAAGTGGTACTACTCCCTACACATGGACAGGAGGCACATGTACTCTAAGGCCATTCAAAATGTGCAGAAGGAACAAAAAAGCAGTCTCATACCCTCACTTCACAGCTAAGAAAACTGAGGCCAGAACCACCAGCTCGATCCCAGCAGGAGAGGTGCCTTTCAGACCAAGTACATCAATCATTTAACTTGTCAGCACTGCAGAACCACAAGAATGGGTTTAACCAATAATGAAACTCGGCCTCCCCTCTCTCAAGCAATTTACAGAGGATAAATGTTAAGTAAAATGTAAGTTCCCCTGGAGCGTCAATCAGTTCCGTTTCCAAACTGTACTAAGAGAGAGGGAAAGTAGAAAGGAGCTAAGTCCTGGGCACATAATTGGAACTCAAAAAATATTTGTTAAACTAAACTGGCTATAACAAAGCAGGGTTTTTCTCTAATACGAATAAATGCTTTCCTGGTTATCTCATCTCTCTGGGGAAACTTCATTTTGGATATTTCTCGGAGCTAAATTCAGTCTCTTCTGAAGAAGTCTGCTTCTGACTTTATATACGCTTGTTTTTATGTGTTTCACACATTCGTTTACTTTCTGTGAGAGTGAGGAGGGAATAGTGAGGGCTAGGGGTAAAGAAAGAAAAAAATTGGGGGAAAATAAGCATAGACTGACCATCACTTACACACACACACACACACACACACCACCACCACCACCACCACCACCACCACCATTCCACACAGAACTCAAAAATAACGTTTTAGGAAGGATATTGGTCATGAGTCCTTTGCCTTTTGGCAAGGGAATCTTCATCACTGATGCCGGCCATCAGGTACTTGAGGCCTGTGATCCAGGTGCGGGCCTCCTCGGGGTTGGAGGTGATGAGGTCCAGGGACTCCATGTGGTTACCATGGTAGATGGTAAAGCAGCAGCTGGGGTCAAAGTTCCCCTCAGCTTGTCTGTGGAATATTTCAGACTGCCGACCCTCGGTGACTTTGTAAATGGAGTCGATAAGTACTGTGAGGCAAGTGAAATACATGACAGGTGAAGATACGGATACAGACTTAAAAAAAGGAAAAGCAAAATCATTTTAAATTTTTAAAAATAAGCATGAACAAGGTCATTGTCCGTGAGTTGGGGTTTTTAAGTCTAAATGTGAAATACAAGCCCTGTCACTTACTGCTAGGAACCTTCTCTACATGAGACTTTACCTTCCTGGGCAGACTAGACAAGGCCCTCCCAGGTATTGAGTCTGGATGGGTTGAAATTTATGATAAAATGATAGATATGCCCAGTGGGGCAAGAAGACTGGTAGAAGAGGGAGCTAATAAATATGTCAAATTTACAGTTCACATATTTATGCAGGGGAAACATACAAAGACCTAGAGCCAACTTTGGTGTTTTAAATATGCATGAGAAGATAAAAAGAAATTGAAAGGGAAAAAAATTAGTGGTAACCAAAGAGCACAGTTAAAAGTGACTGGCATTTATAGTAAGGATGCTATTAGGAGAAGTAGAGCAGGGCTGAGAGAGATGGAAAAGAACAAGGTGGCATCCCAGGGAAAGAGGCATAAAGATGCAGAAGCATAAGGCCCACCCAGGGATGCTGAGCAGGCCATTCATGCTGGACTGCAAAGCTCAAGAGGGGAATCCAGGAGTAAAGGCTGGAGGGGTAGTGAGAGGCTAGATTGTGCAGAGCCTAGAAAAATAGACGAGAGATTAGCACTATTTATGCAGTGGGGCAGCACTGAACATTTGTATCAGAGAAGCACTACAGGGAATATTATGTACTTTAAACTAAAACAATATGTTTTATTTGCTTCTTTATAGATAAGCATAAATCAGAAGAGTTGCATATCCTGTTGATTGCCCATAAAACCATCCTCTTCTCCCCTCTGCCTTAACAGCAGAGTCCCAATTTTCTTCTGGTATTCTCGTGGTCCCTACATGATTCGGGAAAATGAGTATGTGCCCAGCCCCAGGGAAAATTCTGGTGGGGCTCAGCCATTGGGGTGTCCTCATTCATATTTCTTACGATTGATTTAGGTGTGGGAATGCATCCCAGCTCTAACCAAGGAGACTAGGGGCAATGTGCCATGAGTGAAAGGTTTAGAAAGAGGTTCTTCTCTTCTAAAAAGGAAGTAAAAGAAGAGAAGGATCCTTTCTGCCTCTTCACTGTTATGTCAGGTTGTGAGGCCCAGAACAGCTGAACCCTTGGTTACAAAGCCAACACACCAGGAACAGAGCCAAGAGCACTCAACAAAACAGAACTAGAGACTCAGTACCCCATGCCTGGGGCCTGCCAACCTCTGGGTTACTTGTCATGTGAGGTAATAAATTTGTTTGTCATGTAAGCCTAATTTGGTCCAGGTCTTCTGCTACTTGAAGGGGAAAGCATCAGAACTGATCAAAGCAGAAAAAAACTAGCAAAATGGAAATTGGTTAGGAGACTTTGCAATAGGCCACCAGAAAGGTGATGAGACCCTGGACAAGGTTCGTGTGACAAGAGGATGGAAGGAGCAGATGAGAGAGGCATTACAGGAGACCACGGGACTTGGTGCTGAGTAGAAGGTGTGAGAGACAGGCCTTAACGAGGAGTCAGATCAAAGCTATTTTACTTGATTTCATTAAAACAATTTTCTTAACTTATTAATCAGTCAACTGTGCTCAGAAAATGGCAAAACACTTTTACGGATCTATATTCATAACACCCATTGGATTTATGATACCCATAAACTTTCATAGGAAAATGAAAGACCTCAGGCTATAAAATCTCATATGCCAAGTAAAATATATATACATGCATGTGTGTGTGTGTATAATGTCTCCAACACAGGGGAAATATTAACATTGATAGAATTCATGAACAAGAAAACTTTTATGGATTTAAATTCCCCAAATAATTTAAAAAGCAAAAATAGTTATAACTTATTCTGCCTCTCCACATCCTTTAACAGCTGAGCCCAAAACTTGCAAAAAATATTGATGGTCCAGAGGTCTGAAGCTTCCACAGAAGCCACCCAATATAACCCACATATAACTGTGTCAGAACACACAAAAAATTCAGAGATGGATCTTACTTTTTGCCTTCTCACTCTTCCTGGAGGGTCTCCATCGGAGGCGGGTCCGGTGCTCATCCAGGTAAAAGAGCCGGACGAGCCCTTTGGTCCCACGCTTCAGTTTGATCATCTGTGTCCCGGACTGCATTACACTCATGCATCTTTCAACTACAAGAGATCAAAGCACATTCAGCTCTCAGACAATGCACGTGGGTACTGGTGTTCAGAAACTTCACTGTCAAATAAAACCTGATTCACCCCTAAAGACACCCAGGACCAGAAGACAAATTTGCTACAGATACTCTAGAAAGAGTTGTTAAGCAATTTATCAGGCTTAAGCCAGGAAAAAAACCATACTTACTGAAATAAAATTGTACTTCCAGGTACACAATGCATTACTGCTGCACAAAGTCATCTTTTGTTCAAGGGGGTAACACATTGTTTTTTGGTGTGAGACTGATGACCATTTGATACTTGGATCTATATTCATAAAGCAAGGTCTCAGATTTCATGTTAGATCTTCTAAGTTCTTACATAGCCAGCTGTAAAAGCATCTTATGATAATGCCTTAAAAGGCAATCAACAGAAACATAATTGGCAAAATGTTTCAACAACTGCCGAATTGTATGATGGCTACATATGGGTTCATCTATATCTATATCTATATATATAAAAGCCTAAGCGACCATTATGACCAGTCGACTGAATGACCAGTCAACTGGTTGCTATGACGACACACTGACCACCAGGGGTCAGACACTCAACGCAGGAGCTGCCCCCTGTGGTCAGTGCACTCCCACAGCCAACCTCCTGTAGCTGGCCAACCTCCCATGGTCCCTCCCCCCAGCCGGCCCCAATTGGCCCCCATCACTGGCCAGGCCGAGGAACCCCACATGTGCACGAATTCGTGCACCGGGTCTCTAGTGTATATATATAAAAGCCTAAGTGACCAGCCAACTGGCCGGTAGCTATGACACACAATGACCACCAGGGGGCAGATGCTCAATGCAGGAGCTGCTGAGCTGTAGTGACTTGGCAGCTGCAATTCTCAGGTGACAAACCCAGAACCAGAAAGAAGGGAGCCGATTCCAGGGTGCAACACCTGAGAACCGCCCTCTTGTAATTCAGGACCCCTCAGGGGATGTTGGAGAGCTGGTTTTGGCCCGATCCCGCAGGCCAGGCTGAGGGACCCCACCTGCCGGAGGGACCCCACTCACTCAGAGAAAACCTCAAGCTGCGCCGCCTGGGTGTGGCCAGCCAGGGAGGGACCGTGGTAGGTTGGCTCCAGGGCATGTCCCACCTGTCGCACCCAGTCCCGCGCCACCGGCCACCTTCTAATTAATTTCCTTTCAATGTGCATGAATCCGTGCACCAAGGCACTAGTATTATTATATTTATGTATGTTTGCAAATAACTAAATAAATATCATTTTAAATATTATTTAAAAAATCAAGTTTTCACAATTGAACATAATTTTTTTTTTACTTCCCAGCATCATAACCCTCTTCCTTTCCTGCCAAAAACTTTCTGGTTATTCTTTAAGTCATTCATTTTTCCCTCCATTTTCAGCCATATGGACTGTTTAAAATTGATCTACCTTTCAGCTCCAGGGTATCTCATCACTGTGGTTACAGTAATTGGTTCAGAAATGGGCATGTGATTGAATCTAAAACAACTGGGACTTCTGGAAAAAATGGATTTTAACCCCTCTATACCTAAATTTTGCAGCCCAGGGCTTCCAGCTTCCATCTGGGATCCATGAAAAGCAAGTCTGCTTGAAACAGAACCCAAAGCTGAGTTGATAAATAGGAAGGGAGAAAAATGTCGAGGTCCTGCTATTTGAGCCCTGTATCAAGCCCCTCGTGAAATTGGAGACATATCCCTGAACTATTTAGTTTCTGCTCAAATAGCTTCAATTTGAGTTTTCTGGCACTTGCAACACAGAGAATTTTAACCAATATACTCAATAATACTTCTATCTCAGCTTGAGCAAGCTAATTAACCTGTCAAGTTCTGATTCTACCTCTAGGATTTTATGAGGCTAAACCGAAAGTTGCTAACTTCCAGAGATAGAATCTAGTGACAGCTCCTCTAAAGAAAACCCTTGTTGAACTAAAAGGAAGGCTTATCCTAAAAGAAGGGGCCTGGTGTATAATAGAGGGAAATAAGGATCTAGACATAAAAGATGTGCTGATGAATTAAACTGCAAGGATTTTCCAAATAGAGAATAACTTGGTGATTGAATTCTGGTAATATCCAAATAGCTTCTTGTACAAGTGAAAGCTATCATTTAATTCTCTCTGCTTTGAGATGAACCTTGTAAGAAGAGGCCATTGGTGTTGCCTGTTTCCCCGTCACTGGTAACTGGAAATACTCTTTTCCCATTTCATGTGCCTTTGGTGGCCTGTCAATCACCCAACTAAGACATGTGCACCTGACTTAAGCTTCCAGCAAATCTGTCTCCCTCCACGGGAGCAGAGCACTGAATAAAAACAGCACTGAGCCGTTGCAGTGGCCAAGACTTAAGAGACGCTCCTGGTTGGCCACTCCAACATGCCACAGTTGTCAGAGTTATTCTTCCTGAGGGTGACAAATTATTCCATTTTCCCCTTAATTCTGCAACTTATGCAATACTCCTCCAAATGTTCTTTTATCGTATCAGCCAGAAACAGCTTTTACTTCATCAACAAATACACAGGCACATATATAACCCTTAGAGCACTAGAAGCATCTAGCTGAGTACCCACAAACAGTACGCTGTTAGAAAGAGATCAAAGAAACACAGTAAATAAACTTTAACAACATTAGACTTCAACTTTGCTGGCTGAGTATCTTATCTTTACTAAGAAAGATAATTTGACCCCAAAGCTTAACATTGCATGTGCAAGGTACTCATTACAGGGCCTATAACCAACATTCACTATATCCTCCATGAAGAACCTTTCTTCACCCCCAAAATTAAAGGAGAATAACATAAAGTTAAGTACGATTTTAAGAACTGATATTACAAGGGAAGGGAAATGTAGCTTGCTCTGACTCACCTTACCTGACATATCAAATACCCAAGTAATAAAAATAATGCTTCTTAAAATGTTTGCTTTGAAGCACAGAACAAAATTTAAGATTTAGTTTCACTCTAGTAAATTTACCCACCACTGAGCACCATTCAGTTAGGTAATGAGAGCCACGAATTTCAATTCTTGACAGTCACATTGACCATCTCATACCAGTAATTAAAGGGAGAACAGAAGAGAGTATGTCATCATATCAAGATAAAATCAAATCAAACTAACCAAGCCAAAACACCCAAAAAACTCTATTAGAATGTCAATAAACAGATGTTCACAGAGCAACTCCTTGTTCTAGGCACAGGGCTATGTAATGAGGAAAAGCAAAAAGCAAGAAGACTTCTCTTCACCTTAAAGAAGTTGAATTTTAAGAGAATGAAGCATCTAAAGAGACTATTATGGTAGTTCAGAGCTGTGGTTAAGAACACCAAGTTTGGATCTAGACAGCCTGGGGTAGAACTCCAGGTCTGCCACTTAGTAGCTGTATGACATTGGGCAAGATAATTAATCCCTCTGTGTCTCCATTTGCTTATCTATAAAACGGGGGATAATATTATTTACCTCTTGAGTTGCTGTTAATTGAATGAGTTCATTCAAGTGGAGTACTGAAAATGGTACCTGGTATATCATAAACACTATAAATGGTAGTTATTATTATGGTTTTATTATTGAAATATTTTAAAAATAAATGCCAGTCAGAAGTAAAGACAGAAATACTATGGGGGTCTATAGAAAAAGGAGTCTACAGTGAGCTGGAATGGGGAGAAGTATGGTAATAAAACAGAATCAGTGAAGACTTGGGGGCAGGAAAGAGGAGAGGTATGATCAAAGGGTAGGGAAATACGGGCCTCCATCTTTGGAAGAGTGACTCAAAGGGCATTGACAGGATATATGAATCCATCGGCCGGATAAGACTGGACTGTAGAGGGTTAGAGGTGCTGGATTAACATTTTAATCCATTGGCAATGAGAGATCCACTAGATATTTCTGAGCAAAGGAGTGACAGGATAAAAGACATAATTTAAGAATGTATGTCTTTGGGGAGAGAGAATAAAATAAATTGTTTAAGCCAGAGTAAAGAAGTTGAAGTAACTGAACCATCACAGATCTATAAAGCAAGGACTATAAATCCATAGACTGCCCACATACCTGACAGTCCCTCGGCTTTGCTCACACTGCCTTTCGTTCCCTTTCCTTTCCACAGTACCATTTCTTTTCCCTGAAATGGAATTGTTATGGCTACAATATCTGGACAATTTAACAGGAAAAACACAGTGATATAAACGAATTATCAGTTACTTGAGCTAACAAATACCACCTACCACTTAGCAAATACCATCCAGAGAAATAAAACATTTTAGAAAATGGGATCCAATCCCTTAGAGAGGGAGTATGTTTACACAATATATTACTGTAAATATTCATTAGCTTCACATTTATCCCACCAACTCAGCCGTGGGCTAAGACTCTAGCACCATCCAGTAGAGTGGGCAAGCATACATGATCAAAATGTCCTTGCAGAGTGAGGCTTTGAAACAATACGCTGCCTAAATTGTTTATGGAGCTTTCCACTTTCTCCGTGATCTTTCCCTGTCACACAGAAAAGCCATTTGGTTAGAGTCAAATTGAAAAAGCCCACTTCTCCCTGCCTCAAACAGTCCATTGAGTTGTCCAGTTAACCAGAGAAAGAAAACCCTCAAATCATTCCTTGTAATAAAACCCTCAAATCATTCCTTGTAATTCATCCCAGTAGGTAATGATCACCAATGTTGGAGACAAAATATTCTTCCAGAGTCCTCTAAATCACTTGTGTCAGCATAAGCCAATTTCCTCATGCTCTGCCTTCAGTAGAGGAATGAACAGGGGTTACTGCCCCCCTTAAAAGTCATTCTCCAGCCATTCTGGGTCGGTCAATTCCATTAAATGGGATGAGAAACAAGGGAACAAAGGAGGAGTTCCAGAAGCAGGTCAACAAGGACAGAGTCCCAGTGGCTTAGAATGGAATACCCTCATCACACACATTTCCAGTGCTGGAAAGTATCTGGGGAAAGTCTGCAAATGTGGGCTATACATTCAGGCAGCTACCAACACCTGCATAAT